GCGCAACTCAGACACTCGTAAGAGGAAGCTGAACATCAGACGATACAAGGTTCCACTTTAAATCTTTGTATGACTGTCAAAGAGAATCAGAATCGATTGCATATTAATATTAAATTGGATTGCATTTGTAATTAATTCTCAGGTGGTGCCGTTCTCGCAGTGCAGTGGCGTGTTAGAGTGGTGCTCTGGCACCGTTCCCATCGGGGAGTTTCTAGCGGATCCTTACGAAGGAGCCCACAAACGCTTCCGACCTCGAGACTGGACCAACCTAACCTGCCGCAAGAAGATGATGGTACTGTGTCAGTGATATTGATCACAGTCATTCAAAGTTACTAACTGAATTAGTTACAAAGAAACCACTGTACAGCTGCAAAGTGTGACATTTTCATGATTGAAACAAAAAAACCCTCCGTGTTAATCTTCTGTCGTGGCACCGCAGGAGGCATGTGATGACAAGCTCCAGGCCTACACTGAGGTGTGCAAGAACTTCAGGCCTGTCTTCAGGTATTTCTGCATGGAACGCTTCCTGGATCCAGCGGTGTGGATGGAGAAACGTCTGGCCTACACCCGCAGCGTGGCGACCTCCTCTATAGGTGCATTGTGCTCACCTCCGCCCTATGTTACACACAATTGCATATCTCAATGTGTCAAAGTCCTATCTTGATATGATTTGGTTAAAATGAAATCTTTGGTTTGGCAACCTGAAGCAGTTGAAATGTGGAGGCAGGTCTGCAGAGTCAGACAGTAAGAGCAATATGTTAAGCACCTTGTATTGCAACCTTGCACAAAAGGCACCATGCAAATGAAGTCTGATATGATTTGACTTGAAGGAGCATTTTGTTTTCCGTTTTCAGTTAGAAATAAGGCTTCTTAGACAATGTGCTCAAACAGAGAACAGATAACAGGAAAATAAAGCTGCTAATTATGTGGCAAAGCTAAAAGTTATTTAAGGCATCTTGAAATTGTGGTTATGTCCAGTTTTGACTGACTTTTCTCTGTTGCTTCTGCAGTTGGGTACATCGTGGGTCTGGGCGACAGACACATCCAGAACATTCTGATTGACGAGCAGACCGCTGAACTGGTTCACATTGATTTAGGTTGATGTTGTTCTCATTTGTCTCATTTATATAAACAGAAAAAACTTGACCTTTGGTTTGAAGAAGTTGATGCTGTGTCAACAGTGGCTGTATGTGTCTGTTATCAAGCAACATGAAATCAGGCCTCACAGAAGAGCTGTTCTACTTCAGGAGATCAAAGTTCATATTTGATTTAAACAGCTAATCATCATTCTATTAGTATATTGAGAAATGTTGTGCTTTTAACATGCAGGTGTGGCCTTTGAGCAGGGGAAGATCCTTCCCACACCAGAGACTGTCCCCTTCAGACTCTCCAGGGACATCGTGGATGGGATGGGCATCACTGGAGTGGAGGGAGTTTTCAGGAGGTGAGCAGGACACAGGGACGAGGTTGGGATTGATAGGAAATCAAGCCTGAGAACATTGTTACTTTCCATCAGTTGTCATTTTTGTTAAGGTTCATTTGCAAGTAAAGTTTCAGCCCATTAATCAAAAACACCAACATCCACTATTTTGCCCCTAAATGCTGTCTACCATTCAGCCCTAAGATTTATTACAGGAGACATCTATGACTCTCATTACTTAACTCTTTATCGGGACGTGGGCTGACCCTCTCTCGCTACTTGAAGAGATCAGCATCTGTTATTTATTTATAAGGGGCTTCCCCAAAACTTGCCCTCATATCTGACCTCACTAATTCATTGGAGAGTTGAAACACGTAATACTTGCTCACAGAACTGGCTACTGCTACAGGTTCCTAGAAATAACACCAAAGTGTTCCTGACCTGTACTTCATCCTTCCACCAGGTTTCATGGTAATCTGTCCTGTAGTTATTTGTGTAATTTTACTTATAAACAAACAAACTTACAAATCAACCAAAAAACCTGAAAGGGATGAAAAAAAACGCATTGGTGAAGGTAATGGCTATATATCTAAAGCCACAAAGATTAGTACAAATCCATAAAAGGCATCAAAACAGTATTAAGAACGTCATGTTGTGTCTTTATGAGCTGATCTTAACCTGTTTCCCTGATCAGATGTTGTGAGAAGACCATGGAGGTGATGAGGAGCTCTCAAGAAGCTCTGCTGACCATTGTACAGGTGAGAATGTGGGACAACGCACACAAACGCTTCTTTGCTATTCTTAAATGGCATGTTTTCATTCATTGAACCTCCTGTTAAGCTTTGCCTTTGCATGTTTCAGCAGAAATGTTCATGCTTTTGTTCATCTTGAAACAGGTGCTGCTGTACGACCCTTTGTTTGACTGGACCATGAACCCTCTGAAGGCGTTCTACCTGCAGCACGACGAGCAGCAGGAGCTCAACGCCACGCTGAGCTCCACCATGGGCGGAGACGACATATACAACCACCGTAAATCCAGGTGATCTTGCAGCTCATTTTGGTCTGTGTGTGTATGAGTGTGTGTGTCTGAAAATTGATTTATGTGCCACTGATCACATTGTGCTGGAAAAATTAATTGAGTACTGAGTGTGAGAAATGAATTTAACAAAGAAGCTTTAACTCATAAGGTGATGCAGCCACAATGACTGTTGGGTATGGTGTGTTCGACAGAGTCTGATCACTGCTCATGTGAAAAGTGTAAATGTAGAATCTAAATGAATCATGTTTCCTGCTGTTGTGCGGTGTATCATGTGCAAGTTGTGAGAGAAAATCAATGTCTCAGTCCTCTCACTCCCTGCCAACTCAGCACATTATTGAATTTATATTGTGTCCAAATCGCACCACGCTCAACACTTCACTTCCTTGGGCCCTTAACAATACACATGCTCAGTGTGAAGCTCATAAGATGAACAGTTCTTGAGATGTGTGACCCACAGATTTTTCTGGAATTATTAAATAGAGCGTTATTAGATAGATAAGAGAGCATAGAATGGAGGGGCTGTTATAGATAGATACAACTGTCAATGATCGATCAGCTTATCTTCCAGACAATAATATATATATATATATATATATATATCGCAGATATAAAATATGTAAAGTATGAATACACAAGAAAACAGTCTTACTCGGAGCAAGTCAAGCTGATCTGAGGTAATCTTCACATATGTTGGTTGTGCTGTGTCAGTCTGCCCCAAACCTCTGTATCATCACCTCTCTCTCTCTTGCAGTGACAGCCAGAGCTTCAACAAGGTGGCTGAGCGCGTGCTGCTGCGGCTGCAGGAGAAGCTGAAGGGCGTGGAGGAGGGCACGGTGCTCAGCGTCGGGGGGCAGGTCAACCTGCTCATCCAACAGGCCATGGATCCCAAAAACCTCAGCAGACTGTATCCTGGATGGCAAGCCTGGGTGTAGACCTGAGAGAAGGTACACACTCCTGCCTCGACCAGTGGGGGGGGTACTATAGGTTGAGCCTATAGCATCTGTGCGGTTACACATGGAGAGTAACTGAGGGCGGTCACTACTCCAATGAACTTTTTAACATTTCTTTTATTCTTATCAAACTTGAGACATGTCCCAGAGAAAAATGAACTCTGTATTTTCTTTTCTTTCTACAAACTATCGCACTTTAAGAGAAAAGGTTTTAAATTCTAAATCATTAAAACCAAAAAAGCCGCAGTGTCCTGATTGGCTCATTATGCAGCTCCAACTCTCTCTCTCTCTCTCTCTCTCTCTCTCTCTCTCTCTCTGTTTTACCCAGTTGGATGTTTTGTTTTTATATTGTTTACCAATGTATAAAATAATCATATGTATGAAATGCCTTCAAATAAACTGCACTTGAAATACCAACAAATTCCTTTATGAGCAGAGTTTAGTTTAGGTTCAGCTGATTGTTCTTTTACTTTTAGATGAATGAATAGGTTTTTCTATGACGGTCATAGATAAAGTAAAGAAGTACTAAGTGCTCAGTTCTTACAGCTTCATCAAGTTTTCTGCATAAAAAAATAAATAAAAATGCTAACAATCCAGCTGCTCTCTGTTCATACGACACAAAGAAGAACATTAGCAGTCTCCACCAGGGCGGAACGATAAAGTCTTTGTGTCTTTTGACTGTGGGAGGAAGCCGGAGAAAACCTAACATGCAAATTCCACCCTGTCCCAATCGGGATTTGAACGGGTATTGTTCTTGCTGTGAGACGACAGTGCCAGTTCTAATCTAAGGAACACATTTTTTGAAATTCCCTGTCAGTAGAAATAAAAACACAGTGATCGGAAATCAATAAAGAGGGTAAACGCTGGCTGAAATAAAACCAATCGCTGATCATTCAGCTGTAACACATTTGATTTTATAGGATCATTTTACTCATTTGATAATGTCTTTGTGTGTGTCTGGTATTTTTTACTGTAACAATGTATTGTATCCCAGGTATTGCAAAAAAGCCTCAGCTAGAAATTACAGTTACAATGTTTCTCTGCGTTGTCAAACAAACAAATCAATAAATAAATAACATTTCAATTATTATAAAAGTCAAGAGACAAATTTAACAGAAACAAATCTTCCTAGTTCCTAATTTGTTTTTTTTGTTTGGATAGTAACGAACCTTACACGCGTCATGCATTTCTAAATGGCTCAGAAATGTAATTAATGAGATTTATTTACAGATAGGACTGCCCTCTTCATTTTCTGTCATCCATTAACTCAAGTACTGAAGCTGACTGTGTTTGCCCGTGTATCCATCGTGTGATGTAGTGCTTTTCCACTGCACACTCAGTATGATAAGTGCTCGGAGTGGAGGGGGTAACACCTGTGAGGTGTTAAGACTCATTTACAGTCCTCATTGTTCTTGTTGTGTGATCAGGAGGGGGAACAAACCCATGCAGATGAAGTGAGGGACGCTCTGTACGTAACCACAGCGCTGTGCGAACCAGCAGGACGGAGGAGTTCATAGAGATTTTAATTGAAACTGTCCAGAGAGTGAAGCTGTTTATCTCATAGCTTCACTGATCTGATGCTTGAATGATCTCAGACAGTTTTTCTTCTGCATCCATCAATTAATTGAAAGATATAGTTGGTTAAACAGAAAATGACGACCAATCCGGTAAGTACTAAGTTCACCTTCTTTTTGAAATAGCAAATATGTAAGTAGACTAACTCCTGTTCAGAACATGATGCAACAGGTTGTAAAATCTGGTATGTTTAGATATGAGAGATTAAAAGGTTCTAATTTTGTATTTCAAATCGAGAAAGTATTTTTGCTATCCAGAGTAACTTGAAATGACTTTATTCAAAGTGATTAGAAGCACCCAGCGATTGAAAAGGTTTATTCTCATAATCATTTTCACTGACAGTATCCAGCTTCATGTATCATCCATGAGGATGTAGAGAGGGAACTTCCTCCAACCAGCAGATCAGATGTGAAACCACAGTATGTTCATCATCTGACCCCAAACCCTACACCTGAGATCAGCCACTCCGCTCCCAAACAGAAAGGTACTTCAGTCTCTTTTCATTTCAGAGTAGAAACAGTGTTGATGTGGTTTTAATATAACTGTTCCAACAGAGCTTTTGCAGGGTTTGTTATTTATAATCATGTACATAGCATAGCTTATAGTAGGAACTCTAACTAATAAATGTGTTTCCAGTCACAGTGTGTGTTGTGTGTTCTCAGATGGGAAACAGAGGTGTGTGAAGTTCACTGTGTCTGCTGTCATCTCTCTGCTGCTCCTCCTGCTGGTCACCGGAATCCTCCTCGCTTATTACTGTGAGTACAGGATTTATCAGTGCTCTTCAATGTACTGCCTCACACACACACACACACACGTTGTACATTTACACTGACCCTCTGTCCCCTCCAGTCTCCTCGTCGTGTGTGCACGGGTCGCAGTGTGGTGATGGGAGCTGTGTGTGGGAGTCTCAGTGGTGTGATGGAGTGAGGGACTGTCCGGCTGGTCAGGATGAAGCCAACTGTGGTAAACAGACTCGACTACATTGTTCATTTATTCTCTTTTACCTGACTTTTAATATTTATATTATTTTAATCACATTTTATTGATTTCCCCCATTTTTTTATTGTTATAATGTTACAGTTGAGACACTTTTCCAGTGCTCAAACCCTTTGGCCTCCCAGATCTCACCTTGTAACAAAGGGTGACGGACATTGTTGAATTCTCTCCCTATTGACAAAAAAATTCTCCAGCTTCTTTTAAATCCCCTCGTTTTATGAAAGATTTAGCTTTATTTTATAGTATTTCATCATCAGGCTTTTTATTTGATTTATTTCTGGCTCATCTGTCATTTGTGAAGCACTTTGAACTGAACTTACTTGTATAAAAGGTGTTAATAATTGATTGATGGATCAAGAGCCAAGATGCAGGATAAAACCAAAATAAACTTCATATTTACAAATCTTTTACAGCTAAAAGAAAGTTTTTACTCTAAGTTTTTACATGAAATTATTCTTTCCCCTGTTTTTCTTTAAATCATCAAACACGCTGCTGTTCTTGATAGTGTTTAGTTCCACATTACATAAATTAGAGGTCATCATTTGTGTTGGTTTAACATTAATAATGTTATATGAAAAATGTGTCCTCCTGTAATACGATGTGAAGTCAGTGTTTGTGTTCTCAGTGAGGCTGCACGGCTCCGGCTTCCTCCTGCAGATTTACTCGCCTCAGACTAAAACCTGGAGCTCCGTCTGTTCTCACGGCTGGAGCGACATGCAGGGCAGAGCGAGCTGTCGGGCCATTGGATACAGCAGGTGAGCCGCTCAGGAGAGTTTCACTGGATATCCACACTACACCTGCCCTGTGAGGGATTCATGTGTTTAATTAAAGTTGTATTTGACTGTGATGTGTGTTGACAGGGGTGCAGATATGAAATCAGGACAACAGAAGACTGATTCTGACAACGGATTCTTAATCGTGAAACCTTATTTCAACCCAGAGACGTTTGTTGTCCAACAGCTTGAGCACAGGTTAATAAACTGGTTGATAAATTAATATCAAAAGATGAAGATTAGATTAAGATTAAACTAATTTGTCTTTTTTTCCCCCAACTGCAGCAACACCTGTCCCAACAACAGCGTGGTAACTTTGCGTTGCACTGGTACATTCTTTTTTTTTTCTACAATTTCTTCCAAATTTTTAGTTTTCTATTTAATTCTTTTCTGTTCACTTTTACAATATGCCCACTTAACGCTTCGATCCCCACGCTGGTGGAGTGTTCTGTGTGTTCAGCGTTATGACCTCTGTCTCGTCCTCAGACTGTGGGAGCGGGGTTAACTCCAGCAGGGCATCTGGGGGCCAGCAGGCCACCCTTGGGTCCTGGCCCTGGCAGGTCAGCCTGCAGGTCTCTGGCTCCCACCGCTGTGGAGGAGCCATCATCTCCCCCTACTGGATAGTGACAGCAGCACACTGTGTCTCCAGGTAAATCACCACGGTCACAGCAGTGTTTGTGGTCTGATCCAGCCTGAACTGTCTCTCTGCTGATTCTCTGACTCTCAGGAGCTCCAGTCCTGCAGACTGGGCTGTGTATGCTGGAGTAGTGGATCCACTGGGTTCTCTGTTTAACCCTGCTCGCTCTGTGAGTCGCATCATCGCTCATGAAGGCTACAGCCGCCTCCCTCGCAGGAATGATGTGGCTCTGATGAGGCTCGCCAAAGCTCTGGACTTCTCAGGTGATTCACATTTACACACACAGGGCAAAGCAAAACTTTACCTATTAAACAAACCCAGCCAGTTCTCAAGTTTACAGAACTTACACCAGAATCAAAATAACAAGGGTTGTTCTTGAATCGATTTTTAATAGTTTGTGTATTCATTTATTAATGTCAACTCAGTTTATAAGGTACAGCCACTGTGTATCCAAAACTAATGCCATCTGATTCAAGAGAACTGCAGGACAGTAAGTCAAAACTCAGCAGCCAGATTTCTCATCAAATCTACTACAAGAGCACATCATTGTATCTTGATCTGTGACCTGAGGTCCCCAGTGGAGGCCCTGCCAGCCCCCCCACAGTCCCAGGTGAGGACGAGGGGTGACCAGGCCTTTTCTGTCAAGGCTCCCACTCTTTGAAACAATGTCCCTGAGAGGATCCATCCGGCCACTTCTCTTTATTAATGAAAAGAAATAAGAAAGAAATTCATTACCTTAAGATTAGAAATTAGTAATACACCTCTTTTAAAGACCTATTTGCTTTCTCAAGAGTTTGAGTCTGAATTCAATGTCAATTTTTTATTTTCATTTATTTATTTATTTACTTTTACTAGCTCTGCTCTTACCAATTATTTTAATCATTCTATTATGTTTTTTTTTAACTTTTATTTTCACTGTTTTCTCGTCCGTCACATTTTTATTATATATTTATATTGTATTTGTGCTCTGTTGTTGTTTGATGCAGTGTGATCTTCAAATTAATTTAAATTGTTTGTCTTCATTTCTTCATTTTTAAAGTGTTTTGAAAGGTGATATATAAATGAAGTGTATTAATATATTTATAAATCCTCATTCATGACACAGTTTTTGTTGAAAGTGTTTTAGAGGAGTTGATTTAACTGTATGATCATTTTGTCGGCTGCAGTTTGTGTTGCTGTTCAATTGTATGTTGTCTCTGTTATTTACAGATTCACACTCACTGATATAAATGTTGTGAATAATAATAATGTGCAATAATAAGACTTGTAACCTCGGTCATCTTATTTTTTTGTCAGTAGTTTCCAGTAACATCAGACCTATTTGTCTCCCAAATGTTGGTCTGAACGTCTCTGCTCCTCAGAAGGGCTGGATAACACGGTTTGGTCGCACAACAGATGGAGGTGAGACAGCTGTGGCCACATGTGGTTTCATGGTGTAGATTGGTGGAAAGGCATCAGCATCACTGTTCACTGCTGGTATGTTTTGAGTGCTGCCACTAGGTGACAGCAGTGCCTATCATTTTGTAATTGTGCATTCATTGGCCTTAGTAGTGGCAGAGAGAACATAACATAAAATAAATAATTATATATATATATATATATATATATATATATATATATGCTTGCTGATATACATAAACATAATGAACAACAAGCTAAATCAATTGAAAAGGATCATTTAAACCACACACTCAAGAGAATGGACAAAAAATACAAATACAAAAACATATACACACGGGGTTCTACACGACAATTACAATTCCAGAAGTTATAATTACATTTCACCATACAAGATAAATCCCTGCTCCTAAGTTAATTAATAGATGGGCCCCACATATATTGAAACATGTCTTGAAGTGTGCATGTAATTTTTTTTCCATAGGTAAACACTGAGACATTTCCTTAAGACACATGTCTATAAGGATCTGTTCCCTGCGTTTTATTTTACGTCCCTTCAGATAGATGCCAAGAACAAAGAATGTGTTTTTTAAGTGTGTATGAACAGATTGACAACATTACTTTAAATACATGTCAACATGGGAGAGTGTGAGTGTTTACATGATGATTAACATGTCTTGTTATTTGATGTAAACATGGGACATTTCTGTCTTTTGTCCCACTCTGACAGACTCTCCACAGCTGATGGAGGCTCAGGTCTCCCTCATAGACACTGCAGAGTGCAACAGCTCCACCGTCTATAATGGCAGATTATCACGGGACATGTTGTGTGCCAGAGAGATGGATGGAGGAGCAGACATGTGCCACGTAAGACAAATGTATAATGATGTTTTTAACCTCCGCCAAGGAGGTCATGTCTTCATCGCTGTTTACAGAGATGCTGGAAGTCAAAGATGAGCTGAGAGTCTATATCACAACATCATGATAAATAAATAAACCCAAATATTATAAAATAAATAAACACAAACATTATGATTTTTATGTTTATTTGAATGACCAGCAACATTTCACACAACAGCAGGTAATTAAAGAAAGATCTTAGCCTCTATTAGCACACACACTAAATATTCTTTAAATGAACTGAAATATTATTTAAACAGAATTAAATCAAATTAAAAATGTGTACACTTTTTCAACAGTAATATGCTCAAATAAAACAAAACAAGACATCTGTTTGGGTGCTAGACCTCCTTCAACAGTCTTCTCTTAATCTCTGTCACTATTTTTGTTTTTGACTGAGGATTGATTTGTTCACTCAACTTTTTTGCCTTGCAGTTACAATCCCTTGCAAGTAGGGTCTGCTTTGTCTTAGCAGAATTAGGCAAAAATGATTGAACTGATTTAATTTAACTTGGTGGAAGGGTGGGGTGCAGGACAAGGCGTTTCCCAACATATTTGCTCACTGTGTGCCATGCAAGTTCTCTTATAGGTCTGAAAATTACATTTAAACACTAAAACCAACATAAATACATGAAGGCATGATGCACACTCACATATGATCACATGTTAGGAAGGATTTGTTAGTTGAATGGTGCAGTGCCAGACAGCTGCTGCAGTGTGACTCTGGTCTGCTGCCTCCAGGGCTGATGTGTTTCTGTATTAACTCTAAAGTGTTTAAATACAGACTCAAGTGAAACCAGCGCTCACAAAGTGTCTTTATAATAAGGTGGTTTCAGGTTTTCTTGCACAAATGGATCAGTGACATGAAAACAGTGTTTGTGAAAGAATTCAAAGCATTTTTCATGCTCTTATGTAACTTGCTCTGAGGCGAATTAAAACAAGACCTCACTGTGTGGTAAACATGGTTTAAATAAACAGTTCCTCTCTGCGACTCTTAACAGACCATGAAGGTAAAGTTAGAGGCGGCGGAAAACTACAGCATCAACCTCAGAGAATTAAAAAAGACACCGAATGGTTATTAGGTAACTAAGTGTTGTATAAAAACTCTTTCCTTGGATAATAATTAATGGAGATGATGAAGGGACAGAGGAGAATGGGTTCAGTGTGAAGGTTTAGGTGAAAGGGATCTACTGGCAGAAATTCAATATAAAATAATGCTAGTGATGTTTTCACTGGTGTGTTCCATCCAAATTGTACAAATTGTGGTTTTCTTTACCTGAGAATGGGCCTTTATATTAAAACACTTTCTATTTACATCGGGAGCAGGTCTTCTCTACAGAGACCACCATGTTTTCTACAGTAGCCCAGACCGGGCAACTAAACTCCTTCATAGTTTTTATGACAACTGAAAAGTTCTCTTTTCATGTTTCAAAGGGGAGGATGAGGTGAGGGGTGTTCACCTGCAACATGCAACTTCACCACTAGATGTCACTTAATTCTACACATTGAACCTTTAACCAAAATCCTTGATATTGAATGTGTAAATGTTGATGAGTGTTGTGTGTAACTTCCAGAGTGTGACACTTACACAAAGCATTGTGCTGAACTGGTTTTCAGACTGACAGTGGTGGTCCTCTAGTGGCCCGGAGAGATGGGCTATGGTGGCTCATAGGGGACAATATTTGGGGGGAGCACTGCACTGAGAGGAACAAACCAGGGGTTTACGGCAACGTCACCTATTTCCTGGACTGGATCTATCGTCAGATGAAGGTAGAAACTCACAAGAGACATTTTCATGTTTAAAGTGGGATAAATACTCAAAAACTACACATCGATTAGGATTGTCAGGCCTGTGCTGTATAAATGAATCTTGTTTATGAATAAATAATTCGCAGCATTTGATTAAATCTGCCTGGAGGAGCAGCTGCAGTAACACGGTTTCTCCATCTGGTGCTGAGTCGTACAGCTTGACTGAGGCTGGATGTAATAACATGTACAGTGTGTTTGAATCACAGCAGGGTGATGACACAAGGTTTAACTATGTGTTTGATCTTATTCCTTGACCTGTTATTACACGTTAAAGGAGTAATCCATGTTTTAACATTGGGTTTAATTGGGTTTTTGGCCTCTTTTGCTTTAATGCAATAGAGGAATGACAGTTCTAAAGATGAGGAAACAATTTCATGTTCTGATCATTAAGAACGTTTTTAAATGTGGCAGTTGTTTGCATGATGACAATTTATTAGCTATTAGCTTTCACGACAATATTTTTCATTTACAAAAACAAAAATGTATGTGTAGGATAATGTTCAGGCACAAACATAATGAAATACAATGTTTGTTTTTCTGTTGACAGGAGCATCAAGACGACTGATGACAGCACCACAGATGAGCATGTTTGTGTGTATATTTTTTTTCTAGTGTGAACACATTTTTTTTATATATATCAGGGCCTCATCAACATCTTTATCACTAACATAACTTATTTCCTTCTTTATATTACTGCTGTGTCCACATGATTTTTAATTGTAGATGCAAACTTGTTTTTAGCTCAATTTATTTTAATACACTCCATGTTTTCAGTTTTATTTTTGTATATTTATGTGAAATATATGTTTTCTTTCTGTCTTTTTATATATATGATTGTTTTTAATGTTGCTGTTTGAGCCAGTAAATGGAGAAACTGTACCCCAACACAAACCCACATCGAGCTCCTGCCAACTGATGATCTCGTAAGATGGTTTGATCCTGAGAAACATTTAACGAGACAGAAATGTTTTGATTTGGTCAGGTTTTCTTTAATTATTATTTACAGCACGAGAACAATTTTGGCACGGAAACAAAAAACATAAATAATTCAACATTCAAAGATTCAAGTGTACCTTCAATTTGAGCAGTTTGAACTTTTGGTCGACACTGGAGCAGGCACTGGATTCAGATTGATTGTGCAGCAGTGTGTGGTCTCACCATGTTTCACATACTGTTTCACTGACTTCTACATACAAAAGTGTCTCTAGTGTCAACGATAAAATTCTGTTTAATAACTTTTTATTGCATATCAGTTTACTGCCGTCCACAGGATCACACGTGGTGCATGTGTCTCTAGTTGCAAAAATCTTTTGGCTTCTCATGTTGTGTTTGATTTGTATAAAATGTGAAGTATAAATATGCATCCTCGATCATCTAGTGTCTACAAAGAAAATACTTATTTGAATAATAATAATACAATCACATTCAAAGAAATTTACATATAAACTTGTATGTCGGCAGAATTAGTAAAATTACATTAATACAACAAATTGCATAACAGATCCAGAAATACTGATCTTTAACTTTATCATACACTTTTGTTTAACTTAAGAAAAACAAAGTGCAATTCAGCAGAACGAGTCTCAAATGGTTCATGATGCTGTATCAGCATCAAACTAAGACTTTAAGGCACAACAGGCACCTGTGTAGTTTTCTTCGTATGAACAGTGACTCATTGAGCAGCGTTTCCCCATAACGTCAGTAGACACAGACTTTACTTTGACTCAGATAAACTCCAGTATAAAAGAAGGTACAAGAAACCAATCAGAGCTACCATTAGATCTTTAAACAAAGTAAAAGAAAGATCTGTTGGTCATATGTGCTTTGAAATGAGTAACGCACAGTTTGGCCTGGAAATGACACAAGTAACATTTCACTTGTTCTTAAAGGCACCAGTGGTGGTTGATCATGTGCTTTATGTTCTGCCCACCTACAGTCCTGTCTTTATCTCTGAGGAAGAAACTCCGTCCTTACATGTTTTTATGCTGTTATATGTCATCAGCTGCTTTCAGACTTGCGCCGAATTCCAGATAATCTCCAGACATTCAGGGGCTGTATGTGATAACGCAAATCCGGGTGAGAGGCTCCAGACTTTCTCCAGCCAACCCGAGTAAAAACTAGGGAGAATACTGAATGGCTTGATGACAGTTGATCCTCCGCAGGATTCACGGAGAGCGAATGGTCATGTTGACGTTTCTAACATGCAAAAATGGAAAAAAACCCAAAAAGAATACAAATATATCTCAGGATGAAAAAGCTGAAGATGTCAAGAGCTTCTGGTGATTAGAGTCGACTCCAGTGTCGATATGCTCTCAACAAAATACTTTACATCCTGCCTCAGTCTGCTGCCCCTTCCCTCACAAGATCTCTGCAGAGATTCCTGCCATGTTGTCAACACGTTGTTGTTTTTCATCTGTTAAAGGCAAAGTCCAGGGAATGTCATGACCCAATTGTACGGGGATTCTCCGGAGATCATGTCTGAAAACGGCTATAAAGTGTTTCATAGTTTTGTTCACCTTTCTGTTGGTGTTAGTGATTTCCTACATCTCCCAGATTATCTTCCAATTAAGGCCAAGCATGAATTTGGCAGAGTGCTCTTGAACCACGCCCCAGTTTCAGTGTGTGTAGTGGAGAAAGCAAAAGTCTTTCCAGCTGTGAAAGAGCAAATCATACCAGATTAACTGTCCTGTGGCTACACTGCACAATCAACTTTTAACCTGTTCTTCTCCTATGCTGGATGTCACAGTATCATGTATATGACATGGAATGAAATGAGAATAAGAAAGAACAGGAAACTCATCAAAAACTGTTTTTAGGGTGAATTTTCCCTTTAAGAGGCAGTCGATGTGTCTCTGTCGACCTCTGCAGGCCAAGCTGATGAGTGCAGTCCAGAGTCGGTCAGTGGTTCAGAGCCGAGCGTCACAGTTCCACGCAGGCCGAGCCTCACCCCCTTCTCCGCCGCCGTGCACGTGCTCTGCTCACCGGCTCCCTGCCCGTTCATCCTGCTCGCCCGTCCGTTTCCTCTCAGTCACTTGATGCGGTGGCGGACCAGTGACGACTCGTCCGTTATCTCCCCGAAGTGGTCCCTACGTCGGCAGGGAAGCAAAAGCAGCAGCAGCAGGACGATGAGGACCACACCGCATACCGCCATGAGGGCGTAGGAAATGACCCACAGGAGCGGCTCCTTCAGTGCACCGCTGGAGCAGTCCGCCGCCACGTTGGCTGCTGAAAAGGGTCCGGCGATCTCTGACAGGGCCACGCCACCGTTTACTGCAGAGAAATACAAGGACAGACATAAAAGTGTTTCGAAACTCGCTTCACAAATCATAAAATGATCACTGCAGGAAATAACGAACGTCATGACCTTTACAAAAGTAGCTCTAAAAATCTTTTTTTTTTTTTACAAAAGTATCAGTAATTATATTAAAGAGAAAATAGAAAGACAGGCTTATTACGGTTATATAAAGTCATCTGTGCTACTATCAGGCTAGGGTATCGATTCACTGGTGTCCGCTTCCTGAAACAACCATCGTCTCAGACTGGTAGCTGGTGAGCATCATTGTTAACTTAATTTGAGGTTATTCGTTTTGTTACAGGGCAGCTAGTTCAGTTTTCTCCGTCTTGATTCTACCAGGCAGTTTGGCTCATTACAGCTGGCAACCCTGTCACGAGCCCGCACCCTCAACCTTCAGCCTACATCTGTTCCAAGCCGGTTTTACTTAATACAGAAACAAAAGTGATCTTTGTACTTAAAGAGGGAGGAGCCGTGCCTATGCTCATATTTACACAGAACATAAGAGAAGTATCGCTGGGTAATAGATTCAATATTCATCAGTCAGACTCTAGTTATTATTTAACAGTGCTTTACACAGTTAACTTTTTCAATGATAATTCACGTTGAGCTTTGTAGACTTGTGCTAAAAAAGTTTTAAAAGTGATATACTTTTTTTGAATCGTCGATCTAAAAATCGTATATGTGATATGATATATGTGCTTTACATAGTTTCTGAGTCTCTGTAATGATCATATATGAACCCATACCTGCACAGTTGCTGAGTGCAAAGCCCAGTCTCTGCTGGGCCCGGTCGAACACCACGAAGAAGCCTTCCATAACAGTGGCGCCGATCACAAGGCCATTAGTTGAAGAGGACAGTCCGAAACGGAAGCAGTCCAGTGTTCCGTCCACATCGATGACCGGTTGGATGTAAAGCTAAGAAAAAATGAACAGGGAGGAATAACGACCGGTGATTTTGTCTCTAAAATTGACAGAGAAGCTCTGGAGAAAGGATGACTGTGTCTGTGTTTATGTTTCATCCAGGTACCTGAGGCAGAATGGTGATACGGAAGGACTGGCTGGTGTTTGTGGCTCTCAGATAGATGGACAGCTTGGGGAAGAATCTCCAGGGAGTCTCCCCCTTCATCCAGCATGCAAGCTTGGTGCCATCCCAGAACCCTGAAGAAAAATCCTGGATCTGAACCACAGAGAATCAAGGGACACGAAGACGAACAAACAGAGGGAGACAGGAAGGCAAAAGACAAGAGACAGAAGGTCAGTACAGCTCCAAAACATGTTTCGCTTCTATTTTCTCGCAAAGATTTTATTTTTACTGCAAGGATGTTGATACATTAATTGAAAATTCTGTTTCTAAGTTCAAATTAACCTTGAGTACTGTTTGTGTGCAACTGTGAAAGGTGAAATATGAGTGAAGTAGAAAAACAAGAAACAAAAGCATATGCAGAGACAGACACACAGTAAAACTCCTGATCCCTCCTCTCAAAGCGACCATGTCCTTGAAAACAGTGAGCGTGCGCTCTCTTCCCCTGCAACTCTTTGCTTTGACAACATGTTTCATCATTGTCTGTGGAGAGATGGCGGCTTACCAGAGAGCTGTGTATGATGGCTTCTACCACAGCATTGAAGACGTTGACAGGAAGTCGCAGCAGCGTCGTCCCGCTGTCAACTATAGCTTTATCCATGTTATACTGAAAGAGAGGGAGAGAGAGAGTGAAGCGCAGTCGGGGTTTACTCAGCTCAACAGGCTCCTATGGAAGACCTTGAACAAACAAAAGGGATGTGAGAGAGGAAGTTCTTCAACGAAATGACAAACTGGGTGACGTTCCCTTTCAGTGCTGCTGATCTGTTTCATATCTTTGCGTTAACCTTTATGAAATCAGCTCATCAGATATGAATATGTTGCTTCTCTGCATCAAACTTAAGCACAACTGGTCAAAAAACCCACCAACGTCTGTCTTTGTTTGCAATGGGAATGGATACAGTTGGAAGTCACGGCCAGATCGAATGACTCTGCAGTAGAAACAGGTTTCAATCGTCTCCGATTGGCATTGATAAAAATGTTACACCTGAGTGGATGCGCTAATTTGGCGAGACAGAGAGGCGAGAGAATCCCTTGGTTTCCAGTTATGTTGAACATGAGGGGAAAAAAATTGAGTCAAACGCCTCTACTGGCAACAGGAAGTAAATCCCCTAATTTGGTTTAAAAGGGGTATTTTCTGAATGGCTAGAGTTAGAAAAAAGAAACACAAGCATTTGAAATTCACCTCTCTGCAGTCCAGGTCCAGATTCTGGTCACCAACCTCCAGCTTCAAGACCTCCACTTGGTAGTACCACTCCTCTATGATGGGGGTGTACCACACTGACCCTCGGTACAGAGATGGTTCAGCCCCTCCCATGATCTGAGGAGGAACAGAAATAATTCTTCACTTATCTGTGGGTGAGCTGTGACCAACACAGTGAATATCCAACGAGAGCTCACTCTGGCAAAGGGTTAACATCCACATCTTGGCTGAATATATAAACACATACCACCTGCCATTGTATCCATCTGTCTGTATCAGCAGGTCAGTGTGGCACCGAGGCTGTTGTAGAACAGTGACAGACCTGCTCTCAGTGGGATGCTATCTTAGCTTAATTATCTACACTCTGACTTTGCCTCCAATGTACAAAACCCACTGACGAAGAAGATAGTAGCTCTGATGTTTTCTAAAATGCATCAATCTGCTCTGTCTAATTCATCTGTTTATCAGTCTGAGAAGAGAAGTGCTTTACATAAATGATACCGCACGTTAAATAACTCCACGCGCACCATGTGAAATATAAAAAGTGATTCTGTTTAGCTCAAAAATCCACTTTGCCTTTGAGCAAACTGTACAACCAGAGCTTATTTGATACAGTCATTCGATCCAACTCCACCCGAGGCAGCCTCTCCTGACCACTCACAAGACTGCCGCCCGGCAGGTCCTCCGTGCTGCTGGCTGACAGTCCAGCACCGCACATCTGCAGGGAAAAGATGTCAGGAATTCCCAGCTGCTGCACCACAGAGTTGAAGAAGGGCTCCACGGATGAGTCGGGCTGATCGAGAGAGGAAAACGTTAGACCATTAAATTCATGTTAATCGATTTGAGCTTTGGGCTCTGAGCATTTCCATTTTAAGCTGTTTTGTGTGATCTTTCGCATTACCTCACTTTGTCCACATTTGCAACACAAGTTTATTTTGCCAATTTTACAATACAAATATCTTGAAAAGGAAGGATGGAAATACTAAAAGTGAATTTTGAGAAAAAGTAGAGCTCAACTGAAAGAGTTCAGTCCAGTCTTATATAATAGTAAAGAAGAAGAGGACGAAAAAATACACAAGCTGGAAACAGGACTGATATTTTGAAACATCTTAATACATTTTGCTAAAAGTTAAATTTGCAGACCTCTGGAGAAGAATCCCCATGTTAAAAAACTACCTGTGGGACTGAACAAAGTTAAATGCTGGCAGGCATCCGAACTGTTCTCATCGTATTTATTTGAAAAATTAGTATTTGTCAATAATGTTGCATCAGAAATGTGAGAAATAAATAAAAACATTGACTAAAACTGCATTTTCTCCATATTAATTACAATACATACTGATGTAGGGCAGGTAGGGTAAGAGAGAGTGAGCCCCTGACTCAAGGATGTTCACTGCTGCAGTTTTCTACAGGTTTTTATGTCAGTGTTGTGTTATCATGTCCTGAATGACAAACAGCCCTGAGGCGAGATTAACCTGAACACTGGGCGCACCAGCAGCACAAAGTTGTCAGTGTGAGTGTATCGGCTCCTCCATCACTGGCATTTGATCCCAAAGGTTGCCACAGTCGGCGAAGAATCAAAGAACGTATTGTACCAGTTTACACTGACGTCATCCATGTCCCAACAGCACTAAATTATCATGTTAAAGAAAGCTGACGCTGGAAAGCCTAGGTTTTGTGGCGTTGTCGCATTTCACACGTACAAAGACTGTTCTTCTATTTCTCCTGAAAATGGAAATCGATTACGGAAGATACAAACGAATATTAGAGCTCGGAAAGTAAATTAAACTGAAAACGTTATCTAAAAAATAAATCATGACTCAAAAGCATCACGCTCTCGACTGCTGAAAACCTTTTGTTGTCATGTGAAATGTCAGTGACTACACTCAGATTAGATCTGGGTTGGGACGATTATTCAGAGCAGTAAAAGAAATGTGGGTCAGCACTGCTCAATGAGATAAAACCTTATATTATGAAAAAAATAGTGTTTCCTACACTCTCCTTTTTCATTTTCCTGCAATTAGAAGCTTGATGCTTTGTACAAACAAGTTGCAAGTCTAGTTCTGTGCAGCAAAAAACTGAAAAAAAAGCTAACAGGACCAAGTGATAAGACTGATTCAAAGTATATTTAATACATGTCCACATTATTCAATTGATTTAATAGTAGTATATTATACTTTTTATGCAATTCCTGCAACTAACTAAACATCTGGGCAGCTGAGGCTCAGGAAGTGGAGAGCTGACGGGTGTGCCAACAGTATATGAATGGTGTGATAGAAAAGCACTGCGTATAGAATCGCTGTGTGGATGCGTGACGATTACACGCTATTTACATTCAACCGTAAAGTATACGAGTCCTGACATGCCCGGGCTACAAAGATGCTTAATAAACAAGGATGCTGCAGCTATGAAATATAATTTCATACACAGGCTGAAAATGAGGGGGAAAGAGTTGTTTCTAAATTGACTACAGTGTTTCCCACAGAATTCAATCTATGGTCGAAACAAGGGTGCAAGTGCACGTGCACAAGGGTCACTCTAACAGCAACCAGATTCCAGTTACAGGAAAACTGTTAAACTCTGAGGTCTGACTGTCTGTGTGGATGGTAAAAACATTACGGAACAGTGCTAGCATTCAGTAGCACGCAGGAGTTAGAGGTCTCTCGTGTTATAATGAGAAATGTAAAAAAAAATTGGTTCATTATAAAAACTGTGGCAGGACAAATTTGATCATGGTGGACAACCACAGTCACTTAGTCACTATTTTTTAATCGACCTGGTTAGTCATGGGCCAAAGAAATTTTGTCTGTCAGCTATAGACATCTATACAGGCTGTTCTTTTGTATTTTAAATGCAGTTCATGTTTTTGTTTGAGTCTGCTTCTTACTGAAGCCTGGTGCACACTAGAGGATTTTCAATTCTTGACTGATTTTAAAAACATGGCAGACCACAGACATCATGACAGAACTCATTTCTCATTCTATAATCGTCTGAACTAGCACCAGATGATTTGGCCAGAACGTAAGACCACACACTTGCCGTTTGCTGGAAACAATTTCACAGTGTCTATTCCAGAAACTTGAGATCTCACAGAAACTTCTGGGAGTCTTCTTCTTCAGTTTTTTTTAATGGAAAACTTGGATAATTGAACGTGACATCAGAGGAAAATCAAACTTAGAGGAGGTGTGTGTTCTGTTATGCAGTCAAAAACTAAAAAAGAAAAAGGATGTCGAATGAAATCATGTCGGAGAAGGTGGAATTGGCTTAAAAGTTGGATCTGTATTGTTATTTTTAGTCCTAGCTGTAAAATTATGCAACATTCAGTTTGCTCTCAATGGCTATTGTGGGTTTCGAGCTGATTAATCATGTTTGATATTCGAGATTGGGGAAGCTCCGACTCACTTGGTAAAATAAATCGGCCCTGACTGACCTCCAGTATTAAATTGGCCCAATTATTATTTAGTGCTGCAGCCTTTAACAAAAAATGAGTGAGAGAGAAATTGAACCTTTTCTTCTAATTGAACAATCGATCTCTCTCACCCGTGCCAGCATGGGATAGGCCAGCCCCAAGATGCCCTGCCAGTTGATCCCAGGAAGGAAGAAGCCCTCAGATGACAGGATGGCGGCAATGTTAAAGATGATGGTCCCGTTTGGCCCTTTGGGGATGGAGACCCGGTCAATGCCCAGTTCACCTTCCCAGTTGCCCTGAGTGTACCTGACAGCAACCATCCGACCGACTGACTCGTAGGTACTGGAGCTGAACACAGAGGAGGCAGTGTGAATGGTTACAAAGGCCTTTGGGAGGTCGTTTAAAGAACATGAATAAATGTCATCCAGGGGAAAACTCTGATGGTGCAGATTCACCACTTAAAAAACACAAAGCCTTTGTGATTATTCATTTATGACAACAGAAATAGTGGGGATATGAGTTACTTCCTGTGAAAGATCAACAATACTGTCGAGGAACAAACTAAAACTCAGTAGTGGTGTCACATTTCAAAGAGTTTGTGTATCTAATTAAACAAAGAGCTGCAGCCACTCACAGTGCAGTGTTGAAGTAGTGTGTTATGAAAGGGTGTGGAGCCGCGGCCACGGCAAAGTTGCTGCTGCCTGTATCCACCAGGATGTTGAGCTGTAAAACAAAAAGAGAAGTTTGCTTTAACACACTTATCTGTGACAACCCCGCCCTGACCTACAGGGCTTCTGAGTCTCTGTGTGGAAAAAAGAACTCAGCAGTGGGATATAGTGAAAAGACTCTGAGCTTTAAAAACAACAACATAAAATAAAATATAAATATAAAGGTTTTGCTGTGCTAAAAATTAGAGGAGGAGGAAAAGAGAGAAGAGGAAGAGACGAGAGACACAAGAAAATTCCTTCCTACAGGGCTTTAAAGGAAAACATGCCAACGTAAAATAAAATAAAAAATCATCTGGAAACACTGAAAACAATCTGAATACGTGAAAGATCCATATCAGACCTGTCATTTAAGAACCACAATGTAGCAGTGTTGTATGTGGTTCCAAGTACACAAGTAGCTTATATGTCTGTTTGAATGATTACATTGTCAAATATAAATAACAGCCTCTATATATTTGTTTTGTTGTAGCAAATATCGGGTCAGTTAATAAAGTTTTATTGCACAGCAAAAGGAGATGAAGCATCATGATCCATTACAAGTGAAAGAAAAAACAGATGATTGGCTAACTGGCTGTGGCTTTTAGACAGAACTGTTATTAAATCTTTAAATTATTGTGCCATTTTCACTCAAAACTGAAGCGCAAAAGCTGAGCTTGGATCAGGTGTTAAAATATCTTATTTTCTGCAGATTAAAAACTAGAATCAAACCTTTTTGGTGTTCAGCAAAAAAAGACTTTGCACCTCTGATATAATTACTCTCTAATGTGTGATCTATGAGTCAAACATGTTGGCCTGTAGCTACTGACACAATTGTGCGACCAATCCAGCCATTCTGTTATGTGTCATGTGCACAGTGGGGACCGGGTAACAACAGTTGAGATAATTTCGTCCTTCAGGCATCGAGTCGACGAGTAGGAACTAATTAGCCATCAGATTCCTGTCACCTCTGCAACTGAGCAGTGGCCACACTGACACTCACGAGCCGGCGTTCCTCACCAAGATGTCACAGAGTCCTAAACCTAACTCCCCGTCCTAAATCTCAATGTCAACTACAAGTCACGTCACCGGACACAAGTTTATGAAAAATGCTGTGTGCTTCACAGAAATCAGTCTGTCATAATTTCTCTGAGGCTGCCTTTGTTTTTGACAAACCAGAACATCAGGAAGTAGGTTTTGTTATCTGTGTAAAAGGAGGTAAACAAGTCATTCCAAACATAAAAAGAATCCACTTCCTTAAGCTTTAAATCATGTCTTTCAAGTCTGCTCGTCGTAACATTGCAGAAACCAAAATTATCATAACTCCATAACTCCCACGTTCATGCTTAGGTGTGCATAAAGTCAGTATGAAGCAATTCTGTGATCATCAACCATGTGTTATCGATCTGTTCAGTTGGGTACGGGAAGTCACCGGTGGCCTGCCTGGAGGAGATGGGCTTAACACTTCCTCCTCATTGGACTGGCCCTGGTCCCATCGGCTGTGACTGTGCCATCTAAAACCCCTCTGGCACATGGCACCGGTCCAGCCACACAAGACCTGAACCAGCCAAACAGGCGGCAGATCGGAAAACACCGGAACCTTGTGGTGGAGGAGGGGGGAGCGGGGGCAATTCTTATCCCCACACCGCCTATCTGTTCTAGTCACACTATCCTCCTTCAGCTCGGCTCCCGAGCCTCGGGCAAATCTCCCTCCCCCTGCTGCTGCGGCAGCCGGCAGTTGAGCGTTCACTGTCTAATTGGCAGCGGCTCCATGGCGGCAATGTGCATCTGCTACCTGTTTGTACCAATTAGCAGATGTGAGGCTCTCCGACCGACACCTCAGCCTGGCTGTGCCACACGCCAACAGATGTGGCAATTAGTGGCTGATTTGAATAGCGCCTCATTTAACACCACGGCCCTGTAATCACATAATCATTTAGATAGAATAACACAGGGAGTATGACTTAATAGTATTGAGCTACACGACATTTTGGCACTGCATGAACCAATCTGAACCAAAGTGGACTGAGCTCTCTTGGCATGAAAGGCTGATAGGAACATTTCACTGTAATGACGGACAGAGTTAAGTGTCATTTGAAACACTCACACAATGTTAAGGCTGGGATATTAGAAGAGCAATGTTTCATTAGAACTTGTTATTTAAGGATTGTTGAGTCTGACGACATGCTGTGTTTGTTTCGGAAACAATGTTTTATGTTACTTGTTGAAGTTCTCTTCACGTTTTGATAGCCATCAATAAATAAAGATAAATAATTCTTTGACATGTACTTTGACTATATAGTTTGGCCAATGTCCCATCTACTAATATGGAGGAGACTGGATATATAGCGTGTTCTATTCTGCTGCCAGCCACCAGGTGGTGATTAAGACGCTTTGGCTTCACTTTGGGGAGCAGCAATGTCCTCTGTCATGTCAATGTTGTCGTGCAACTGCTGTGTCACGTGACTACTTTGGGCCAATCATGATTGAGTGATCAGGTCTATGGCATAATAACCCTGAGTTTTCAGACCCTCTGGGCAAATCGAAAAAACTAAATTCAGGAGGTATGACTGCTGATTTGAAGAACTGTTCCTACTATAAACTGTAGGGGAGTTGTTTGAGGATTAGGACAAGAGTCAGATGATAATATCATAATCTCTTTTCATTCATCTGCCTGCTCATAGCTGATGGCTAAATATGAACCACAGTCTGATGACCGAGTGCTGAGGAAAGTCCACCGCGACAAAATATCGGTTGGAATAATTATATTCTGAAAAAACATTAAGTCTGGGGAATTTCCCAGGTTGCAGTGTGCCCTGAGAGCAGCAGAGGCTAAGCAACCTCACAGGACAACTCTGGACTGGTGGTAAAGTCGAACTGGGATCTGGCAAGCGCTGCAGGGTTATTCTCTCGGAGCTGGACACAGGGAAGTGACATGTCCCGCAGCCCTGATAAGCGTCCCAGAGCATGAGAAAGCGAGCGGTGCCACCCAAGAGTCTGAAAAGCTCTGATATGTTTCAGCTAAGGGACCCGGGAACAACATGTCAATGAGACAGAAAAGGGATAATTCACCTTTGGCTTAAGCGTCATTTCACACACATCCACTTCCAGCACAGTGGCAGGGCACAGCCTTAAACCTACAACACCCTACAGCATCATGAATGTTTAATCATGACGGGACATTCCCCCTTTCAACTCTTCCGGGACCATTTAGTCCTCCTTAATCATTAATATGAACTTGTTAGGCGCCTTCAGTAACGAGCAGTATGAAACAATGCCAGGAAATGACTGCACAGGCATGTTTCTGTGCAACGAGGGGGAAAAGAGCAGAAAATGTGCCCCCTGCACCAGGGGCTTGAGTTGTTTTGTACAATTCTTGGTTTGCTCTTTGCTCCCTGGGAGCCTCATAATCCCCATCAGCTGCCTGGTAAGAAACAGTGGTCCTCAGGCTGCGTCATGTGAGTGCATGTGAGCCGGCGTTCAATCTACCTACAGACCACAGGCTGTGCAGGCTCCAGCCAGCTGCAGCACCCCACAGCTGGAGTCTTATGGCCTGGGAATAAGATATTTCATTTCAATATGAATAGTGATGGTTGATATACGCCAGGAAAATCTTTCCCACGCAGCCAAGTCGTTCTTCTGCTGTTGGGGAGGGGGGATGTTGAAACAATCGGTTAGTATGTAGAAAACATTTAACAATTATAGACAGATAGGTAACTAAGGCCCTGGAGTAAAACAAACACAGCCAGCCCACTCTCCCAGTCCTTCAGTGGATCACATGGTGTTCAGACACACACACACACACACACACACACACACACACACACACAGAGGAGAGGGTGCATTTAAGTCAGTTCTGAACAATTAAATATTAAAATGTCTGATCAGTAGAAACAAACAGTGACAGTGGGGTTTACAATCACCTTCTGACCGGGGGTGCCAATGGACATTTCTATGTAGTAACCTCTTCCAGAGTCCCCCTGTAAGTTGTGAGCCATGTCCAGAAAGTTGACAGTTCCAGTGGGATCGGAGGCCAGAGACAGGCCGGTCCCATCAGCGGCTGCTAACACCACCCGCTGGACAGCAGACACATCCACAGCCGGGGACACGTCGATCCTCCCCGGGTAAATCTTCAGAGGTATGGACAGGAGACAAGTGGACACGCCGAAGTAAAAGCTGAAAGTTAAAGCCCACAGCGACACTGAAGTGGTGTCAGCCATGGTTTGTCTTCGTCTCGTCTTGTGTTGAGTGCAGGGACAGAAGACTCCAGCTCCGAGTTCACAAAGTTTCCTCCGCTAAGTTTTCAGCTTCACCATCATGGAAGCGGCTGCGCTGCGGGGACCGCCATCAGGGAAGAAGCGCTGCGTCCTCACCGTGAAGAAGAACCAGTAAGACACATTAAACACACGGACATGTCTCCACACTGAGGACCACAGCGACAACTCCTGACTGCCTCCGTCCACTCCTCCCTCACCCCCAACACCACTGACGTCCGGTCAGCCCCTTCAAAGTAAAGGACGTAAATATATTTAATAATTATGAATCACATGCAACGTCAAGAAAATATTTGATTTGATTGAGACATATTTCTTTAACAAAAAGTTACTTCATTTGTTGTCATATTTATATTATAATAGAAGTAGCATTCTGTAAATATATTATAATATAAGTAGTATAATATAAATAGATAAATACATAAAAAATATATAATGATAAAATAATGTATACATAGAAATATAAGTACACATTTATATCATACATATATTTATATATTTAAAATATTTTACTATTTCATACCTATGAGGAAGTGTCCTGACCATGAATGATATACTGTATATATACACACACAAGCGCTGTATAAATACAACCATATTATAATCATTTACACAATTGTGCATGTAATGTATGTAGTTATTTTACATATAAATGGAAATACAAGCTTTTCAAAAAACTTTTCATTTGGTTCACATGGCAGATCCAGGGGCGGGGCTGAAATCTGATTGGCCCTGTTCTGTCAGTAGTCTTTAAAAAAAACGAATTGTTTAGTAACACTAAATATGATGATTTGCAAAAAGTAGTTATTTCCGTCCCTTGTTTTTAATGTATGTGCACCTTACTGAATCAGGGATTGTCCATGGATGTTGGACCCATGATTGGCCCCTCTGAGCAAATTGTGGCCCCTTTGTGGCCCTTGATTTAGAAAAATCCAAGATCCACCACTGATCTGAAACTGCCCTGTGCTTGTTTTTTTCATTCTAACCAAAACTAACTGTCAACCATGGATGTGGATGACCACAAAATTAGTTTTGTTAACCATGGATATGTTGAGTTAATCTGTGTCCTCATTGCCTTTGGTCAAGGAAATTTCCTCAGCCTTAATGTGAGAGACTTCCTGATGCCACATGTTAAAGTTAAAGAAAATTGATTAAAATGACTTTATCAGTATTTTAAAAAACTGCTGCACGTTTTCTGTTCATACGTCGACTGCACTGTAGAGATATATCAGCTTTAATGTCACCATCCTAATTTATATGTCATATTGTGGATTTGTTTTTTAGATAAGTTTCCTCCCCTGTTATTGTTATTTGTTTGACTTAAACATCCATTCTACAGTATTTATATTAACTACTGTGTAGAGTTAAAACCATATTGATATTTCATAACTCTCTACACTGCTCTGCATATAATATGTCATGGTGACATATACAGTTTAGGAGTTATATTACGAATTAATATCTATAGGAGCCTTTTCTCTCCCATTGTATTTATAGCAAACTGAGTTGAAGCATTATTAAAAATTTAGTGTGTAAGTATTTTTCAAGGCCCCATTATTCACATTACATCACATAAAACGCGGTCAACACCTCAAGGTCAGAAAGTTAAATAAGATTTAAGTCATCCGGAAATAATGCCAGTCTGCATTGACGTATATAATCACATGCATCACCTCAGAAAATGCTTCTCTTTTTCATTCTGTACCCAAGCACCAGTGGCTGGGGTGCAAGCTCTTGTGTTTACATATATGAAAAAACAGACACTACATCGAATTTATCAAGATAGAAACCCAGAGGCGGGACAGTTTCATTTGCTGCTTTGACAGTTCAGAGAAAGAGGAAGACGATTCCAGTACTAAGGCAAGATCAATGTCACAGGCCTTCTCCATGCTGCCTGTTGCACACAGAGCCGGCCACTGTCTCGCTTTGACTTCCTCATGAGTCCACGGCTACACTGTCACATGTTCACCCCCTCTCCCTTTCTCCAACTCGCCCATTGAAGTTAATCAACTATAGCTACAATAACCTGAATAATGCGGAGACAGACTGTGACCACAAAAATTCATCTTTCTGGTGCATTGCTTGTCATGCACTGGGTCTTGTGAATGACCCATTTAAACACAATTCCCGTTTCTTCTCCTCCCCTGCATGGGACATTGAAATACTTCCATGGCCTGAGAGTATAAAAACAGGGGGGAAGCAGGAATTCATTGTTTACTCGTCTGTTGCTATGCATAAAATTCAGTGGATCCGGCGATAGATCATGTGTGTTATATTCCTCTGGGCTACAGGGTTATCAACTTTTTTTTCTGGCTCATTACCTCATTATTGGCACCAATAAAAATAATTGCAAATCCAGGAAATAGAGGTCTGTGAAGTTTTCATTAAAAAGTTGATTATTGATTATTAATTTTGGTACAAAACAGCTTCATATATGTTTTAAATATAGTAAAATACATTAACCCAGGAAGATTATTTTGTTAAGCAAATAGTAATGATGATGCAAGTCAAACACTCTTAGAAGTTAAGTCAGTCACAGTTTTACTCAGTGGTTATTACCAGTTTTAATAATGGATAATTGTTAACTGAAGTTGGACCAAAATGATTTGTCCAAGAATTATATCTGAGGTCCCAACTGCCCTTGCATGATTCTCTTTCACTTTGTAGCATTTGTGACGTTTACATTTTTAATAATGGGCTGTCGTGGTCAGGGTCCTTCTTGCTGTTCCTCTTCAAGCCACAGCAAGGCGCTCTGCACCACTCCTGTGCCTTTAATCCAATCTGAGGAGACTGTAGCATCATCTGTGTGTGAGCAATTCAGGCGGCTTAGCAGAGCCAGTGGTCCTACATTTGGCAGTGCAAAGCTCCTTTACTGGGACATTGGTACTTAATCCTCAAGACCCTAATCATTACAGCTGATGAGAGGGAAGGAGGCGAGCGCTCCACATGATCTCATATGTACCCGCTCCTCCTTCACCTTGACAACACTCACACATCAAACTCAAACTCTGCACAATGATATCTAATTTTGAAAGTTTTACACATGTCACTTCATGTATTAATAACTTTTGGATAATTTTATGTCCAACTAACAAGGTGACAAATTGATGCTAACTAAGGCTGCAACTCATGGTGATCTCCAGTATTAATTAATCTGTCTATTTTCTTTATAATTATTGCTTGATGCATTTCGAAATAGACTGTGTGAGTAGTCCTTTCAAAGGTCACATCATATGTGCAGAAATATGTGTAATATATAGAGTCAGAACTGCATGTGTAAGTATGTAGAAAGTATATTCAGCTAATTATTTCAATTTGATGACATAGTATCATATGCAATTTTGGTTTACTGTAATTCCGAACTAATAAATATGTTTTCAATCTAGATCTGCCCGCAGGAGTCAAAGGGGTCTAAGCCCTCTGAGCAATTCATGCCTGACATCCTGTCATGAGATTAACAAGTTGGACTTCTGGGTCAAAGGTCAAAACTGAGGGAAGTATTCCATTCAATGTGAAAATGTTGTTTTTGAGTGTTTTCCACTTTTTGGTCAAGACCCCCAAGTGTTGCAGCGGACCACTGACAGACGCTTCATGTTATAATCTGTCAGGGTGTGGATGAATGAACCAGTGCTTATGTACAGCAGGAGGTAGCGGCGTTAATTAGGGAGATTAGAGAGAAGGAATCAGGAATCCACGGCCAGTCAGCCACACGCAGGTGGGAACAGGAACCAACCAGCACTGACAGCAGCAGAGAACCTGGATTTAGAAAATAAAGAGCAAACAAAAAAAGGTGCAACCCTAACAAAAACATCCTCATCATTTTGACAATACCTGTGCTGCAGATACTTACAACACAATTAAATCGACAAATACTCAGTAATCAGCACAGATGACAAAGATGTGTTTTCAAGGAAACACGCAAACATGATGAACCTGGTTTATTCTTTTCTAGTGTCCCCTGGAACATCTTGTTGTCATCTGTGTTACTTACAGCCTGTTTCTTCTTTTTAGTTGTATTATGTTTTCAATGTGTTTCTGCGTATGGTTAAGTTATATATACTTGGAGCACTTTTGTCTATTTAACTTTTTTACTTAAGATGTTTTCTTCACTTAGTAGACAAGAGATGACAGAAAAGTCATATTCACACATCAAATCAAAATCATTGCTGTGTGCTTTTTTGAAAAAGAAAGTCACGAATGGAGTTCAATACACGGTCTGTGCCAGTTCATTTTGGAAGATTACAGGCCTGAGGGAAACTCCCAGAACTCTGCTCCAGTCAGTCATGTGACTCTCAGCTGATCAATGACTTGCTCACAAACCCAACTCAGTCACTCAATTTCTCACAGAAATTTTGGGTTGCATACGCTGAAGGAATACAGGAATACATTTTAATCAAGATTCAAGAACCTGAGAACATGAAAAGTATTTTTGAAAGAAAGATTCTCATTGAATCCCAGAATGTATATTTTACTTGTTACAATACAGCTTCACATTTAATAAAAGCTATATTACTTAGAAAATAAAACCCAGTCAACCACCATGCAGATTGACCATAGAAATACACAGTGTGCGATGCAGTCTTGAATCAGTGATATTGCCGTTCACTGACACACAGGGCTTTGATAGGCAGCCTCACGGACAGACCAATCACTTAAAGGTTCAGTGTGTAGACTTTAGTGACATCTAGTGGTGAAGTTGCATGTTGCAGCTAAATATTCCTCACCTTACCCTCCCCTTCCAAACATGCGAGAGAACCTGTGGCATCCTTCAGTTGTCATCAAAACTCAGGTGTTTAGTTTGTCCGGTCTGCACTACTATAAAAATCATGGCGGCCTCTGTAGAGAGGACTTGCTCCTGATGTGAATATAAAGTATTTAAATATAAAGGCCCATTCTCAGCTAAATAAAACAACAATTAGTACAATTTAGAAAAAACACACTCGTGAAAACTTCACTAGGATTTTTTTTTATATTCAGTTTCTGCCAATAGAACCCTTTCACATAAATCTCACACACTGAACCTTAAAGTCTACAATGCTGATCTGAGATCTGCTATATTTCCCTGTGATATCAGAGGCAGTGTAATTACCATACAGGCATGACGGAGCTGAATGAGCGGCACATGGGAGATTTCAGACTGGGTATGTGGTCAATGTCCTCAGGTCATATACCAGACTGTTTTATTAGGAAAGAGGCTGGCGTCAGATAACTTTTTG